CCTTCCTTCCTTCCTTCCTTCCTTCCTTCCTTCCTTCCTTCCTTCCTCCCTTCCTTCCAAAAGTAGCATCCAGGTTCTTTGATAGTGTGATTAATATATATACAAGGTATACAGAATTAAAAAGATTGGAATAGAAAATCAGCAGTGAGTAACTTTGGGTGATTTAATATTGTTGGTGATGCAAATATCTGTGGTCACATCACATGTTGGTATGGTTGGTATGTCTTCTTTCCTTTCTAAACTTTTGTTTTAACTATATAAAACCTATGTTGGAGCTTACACTACAGTCTTCTCGGGAAACATGCTGTTGATTTCAAGCAACTATATTGCTGAATTTGGGGTCAAAATAATGATTTTAGGGGGTCACAGGAAATCATGGCCTTGTCTACATTAAATGCTTGATTTAGACAATACTATCTGCTGATTCCCTCACTTTTGTACTTTTACCCCCAAATAGCTATAGATATGGGCATAGCATTTAAAATGTGTTCATACTTTTTTCTTAAATTTGCTACCCAGATCAACCTTCCAAATGTAATGCCCATGATTGAATGAAAATGTGATCTTGCCTTCCACTAGTTTTTCAAGTAAGGGAAAAATGTGGGAAGAGACCATTGCTTGCTCTAAGGCAGCATTTGTAGAGTAGTCAATCTACTAACGCGAATCATGACTTTTATACCATGTTTTCTCAGAAACTGTGACTGAACTGATCAAAGAGCGCCTTACAACCCAGTCTTCCAAAACAGTTGTCCGTTCTAAAGAATATCCCCCTACTTCTGGCCAGAAACGGAAGAAGCCTGCATCCCATAGAAACTCACAGAAGCATGGATCAACAGATCCTACACGTTCTGGTAAAAAGCTGCCAACAGCACAGCGTCCCAAAGGCCGGGGTTCCCAAGCCAAATCTGGTGGGCAAACACCAAAGGAGAAAGCACCAGTCATCCCTGGAGCAAGAACTCAGTCACCCCAGAAGAGAAGATCACAATTACCTGGAGCACTGAAAAAACTTTCACCGTCTCCAAAGCTGAAGCCAGCAGTTAAGGAGAAAACACCGAAGAAGGGAAGGAAGAAGAAAGAAAGGGTCAGTGCAAGAAGTTCTGTTTGAACATCCAAAATGCTGCCAAGAATCAAGAGAAGGGAATCTGGAGGGGATTGCTTAGTGACTCATTTTATGTCCAAGAAAGTGAATCAGAATGGCATATAGATTTTACATTAAAAAACAAACAAACTTGAATCTATGCAGCTTTTCAGCCGCTGACCACACCAGATGTGGCACATTCATTTAAATGTTTAATTGTTTAAATGTTTACAACTGAGAGTTTAACCATTCCAGATGTTTACCAGTTAACTGCTCTGCACAGGTCTTTCTCTAAGAATTGCTTAGTGAAACTATGTAGGCACTCTAGCGGGCACTTACTACAGTCCACCAAACATATAACCAGAGGTGGTATTCAGCAGGTTCTGACCAGTTCTGGAGAACCGCTAGCGGAAATTTTGAGTAGTTCGGAGAACCGGCAAATACCACCTCTGACCAGCCCTGCCCCTATCTATTCTCTGCCTGCCGAGTCCCAGCTGATCAGCTGGGTCTTCTTTTGTTGCCCTGCACAGGAGAACGGAGTTGGAAAGCAGATTAGTGGGGTGGGAAGGGAATGGGATTTTACAGTATCCTTCCCCTGGAGTGGGGTGAAAAATGGAGATTTTGCAGTATCCTTCTCCTGCCATGCCCACCAAGCCACGCTCACAGAACCGTAGTAAAATTTTTTGAATCCCGCCTGTATCATGTGAAAATGGATTAGCATCCTTTTTTTTTGAAAAACCAGTCCCTTGATGACTTCCTTAGAAAAAGCATTCCTGAGAATTCAGAGAGCTGCAATTTAAGAGCTCATTTTTGGCAAAGGAAGAAGGGCTGAGCAAATGAGGAAAGCTGTTTTTATCTCGAGAGTGAAATCTTCTAATTTTTCTTCTAAAATGTTTGCATTTTCACGACAGAAATCAAAATGGCCAAATGTTACTCAATCTTTCAATGATGCCAATCCAAAAGTTTTTAAAATGAGTGATAGCATACGGTCCAAGAGTTTTTAAAAGTCTCTCCCTCTTCTTCTCCCTCTCTCCCTCCCTCTTTCCCTCCCTCCCTCCCTCCCTCTTTCTCTGTATTCTATTAAATATAGAATGAAAGGGAAAAAAAGGAAGTGCTTGTGGTTTCTGGGAGACTCTTGCAAGAATATAGATGTTAATTAGAGGAAATTTTATACATCAAAGTCTTCTCCATCTCTAAAATGCATGTCCCTGTGGACTGTGCTCTGGATTTCATCTCTCTCCATGCTGGTGCCTCCTAGACGTGTATAGTAAAACTCCCCCAACCCTGGTTGCATTGCTAATAGATGTGCTGGCTGAGACTTATGGGAATCACAACATAACATGCATGCAGGAGACTTTGCTTTGAGAAGGCAGATTGCCTCTATATGCTAATAGAGAAATTCCTGTTCAGGTATTGAGCCTTATTAACTGGTCTAAGGTTCCTTAGACTATCTGGTAATTTGTGAAAGGGGAGGGGGTTGTTGGTGTTGTAACCTCAAATAACCCCATAAAAGAAACACAGCCAATGAAATAAAGAGAGCACAGTTGTCTGTCAGTCTGAACTGAAACACCTCCTGTCTCCTATGTTGTTCCAGTCCTTGTCCCATTTGAATTCTGCTTTAAAATGGTTAAGTTACTGAACGGGGAGCAGGAAGCTTCAGGTACACATACAGACTGGATGAAACCAGGCTCAATAAGCAGTAACTGTGAGAGGGATCTTGGAGTCTTAGTGGACAATCAATTAAATATGAGCCAGCAGTGTACAGCGGCACCAAAAAAAAAAGCCAATGCAGTCCTAAATTGCATTAACAGAAGGATAAAATCAAGATCAAGTGAGGTATTAAGACCACTCTATAAAGCATTAGTAAGACCACACCTAGAATACTGCATCCAGATTTGGTCACCACACTATCAAAAATATGTTGAGACTCTAGAAAGAGTGCAGAGAAGAGCAACCAAGATGATTGGGGGCTGGAGGCTAAAACATACGATGAACGGTTGCAGGAACCGGGCATGGCTAGTCTAGTGAAGAGAAGGACCAGGGAAGATGATTGCAGGGTTCCAATATTTGAGGGGCTGTCACAGAGAGGAGGGGAGTCAAGCTATTTTCCAAAGTATTTGAAGGCCAGACAAGGAATAATGGATGGAAACTGAACAAGGACAGATTTAACCTGGAAAAAAGGAGAAACTTTCTGACAGTGAGAACAATCAACCAGTGGAACAACTTGCCCTCAGATGTTGTCGGAGCGCCATCGCTTGAGACCTTCAAGAAGAGATTGGACTGCCATTTGTCAGAGATGGTGTAGGGGGTTGGATTAGATGACCTAAAGATCCCTTCCAATTCCGTTAATCTGTAATGTTAATCTGAATTTAACAATAATTTTGAAAAAGGCTACAAAAATCTCAGGTGGTTGGAAATTTCCTCTCTGGGTCAGATCTTGAGGACTTGGGCCCTGGTTTATTAATGGGTTAAAAAATGGCTGTTATAATTTGTAAAATCAAAGGATTGTTTCCTTTTTTAAAATGTTGAGCCTAGCTTTGGGTGGACAGCTGTTTTCCCTTCCCAGATTTACCTCCCCATTTCTTACTATCAATATTTTTAAACTCTTTCACCTCAGATGGCTTTGTTAAAGAGTTTATTGTGATTTTCGCTTCCTAAAGTGTAGATACTACTTTTCCGAATGCTTAGGTGATCTTTCCCATTGATTCTATACAGGGTAAAATAATGCCTCACACCTTTTACTTCTTGTGCAACAATTGTGCAGAGTGGTGGTGGTGCTGGTGTTTTGACTAGATGACCTGCAAGGTCCTTTCCAACTCTGTTAATCTGTAATAAATCCACCAGCATGCCCCGATGAAGTGACTTCAGACTAGCTGCTCTCTGGGCCCACCCAAATTCACTTTTCCCATAACAACCCTGTAAGAGAAGCTGGACTCGGGGATTCGGGCGGAATATAAATCTGACTAATCTAACATCCAAATACTGTCTGGGTGTCATGGATATACGGGACGGAAGGCTAAGCATTTCAATAGTGTGCTCAGTTTTTTTCTTCTTGTTCCAAATAAATCTTTTTCTGCTGCCACTGCCCTTTCCTCTGTATTCCTTGATCGGCAGCCCCACCTGCTGGTCTTGTCTTGGAATGACAACATACGCTACAGATTTTATACTACTCATTCACTTCTTATTGTCCTTCGGACCTAAAATTCATTTGGGATCCTAGCTGACCAAGCATCATTTTTGCGCAGGAAGCAGTCGTTCGAGGCAAGCATCCGATTTCAAGATATAGATAAAATGGTTTGATTTCACCTGCACTAAGTAAGCTATTAGTAAATTAGATTGTCAGCATTTTGCAATCAGTAATTGCATCTGTTTGTGGACAATAGAGCTGTCACCGACCTTAAATTTCTATATTGAACGTATTGTGCTAAATTGCACACAGAACACTTAAAAAACCCCTAACGAGTGTTTTTTTAAAAAAATGCTAGGCCCCAGCGAGGATCGAACTCACGACCCCTGGTTTACAAGACCAGTGCTCTAACCACTGAGCTATGGAGCCACCTATCATCTTGGCTTATCTAGATGAATGGTACAGTACTGTTCTTGGAATATATTCTCTCATTCCATCGATTTCTCTAGGTCGATGATATTGTGAAGATTGAATTATTAACTCCTCTTTTCAGTCAGAGATTTGAAACTGCGCTGGCTAATACAGGTTACAGAGACAAGTGGATTTCCGGTTTATTATATGCTGTAACATAAAACCATTTCATTAAAAATAGGAATAAATACTCAGCAAGCAACCAAGAACGATTAGGTCTGTATTTCTGAAGATAAAAACACAGAAGCACATCATAGCCAAGCTATTTATGACACTTTATTGTTACATGTGTGCAATCTACAGTCAGATTCATAGTCTGGTGGAAACTTAATAATTCAAGTCCTAACCAAGGACCTAAGAATTACTAAGCCAATGTCTAAGCATATAGGCAGTTCCCAGCAGGATTTTTTTTGTGTGTGGTAAAATTAGTATTCAGGTGTGATACATTCAATATTTCCACACATTGAGAAGTATTTTAAGTATAGCTCTGAGGATTCTGATTGCTATTGGTATAACAACAGGTTTTTTTTTCATGAGTGTTCAAATTCAATCTGCAGGTCCTAATATTTTTATTTTTATTTTCAAATTGTTTTTTTTCCTGAACCCTAGCATCACCTGGAATAGCAACATCAATGAACCAGACTTTCTTCTTGTCAATAACTCTTATATCAAGCCTATTACAAAAAGAACACCTCTCTTTTTAGATCTTAAATTCCCAGAAAAAGGTCTTAACCAGGTCATTTCGCCAAACCTTCGTAATGTGATGGTCCCAGTAGGTTTCACTACATTGAAATCTAAGCCACGGGCAAAGTTTCAAATGAATAATTCTGGTAATTCCGTCATGATGCTCCTTGCAGCCCTTTCACTTTGGGAAATTTTGCTGCAAATGGTCAATCATGTCAATTATTACAAAGGTGACATTTGCCATTTGTTACATGTTGAATTTTTACCTTCATGCAAAACTTAGTTAGCAAAGAGTTGCTAAAATGAAGCTTTCAGCTATTATGAATGTTCGTTGCAATGTCAGCTACATGTTTAGACTGGGTTTGGCAATTTAAGCCCAAAGACTTGGGATTATTATAATTTCAATAACAGCAAAGATCAATTCAATATTTACCAATGCATATAACTGTTCTCAGATACTGTAAGATGCTGAAGACCTTAAGAATGCAATGTGAAGAAGCAGAAGCAGAGAAAGTTGCAGGCAGTTCTGCCAGTTTCTCTGCTCAAGTACCTTCCCAACCCATGGCCAAGCGGGTGGGAGGGGACGAGGGGGGAAAATGAGATGGGAAAAATAATCTTCTGCCCCAATTTCCCCTTACAGGTGAATACAGTGTATGACTTCAACTCACTTCTGATATTCCTAGAATATGTGTTTCTCAACCTTAGCAACTTTAAGATGTTGGACTTCAACTTCCCAAATCCCCGGATTTGTGGGTTGGCTAAGGAATTCTGGGGATCTGAAACAGGTACATCTTAAAGTTCCTGAGATTGGGAAACACTGTTTTGCAAGATGGGCCAGAAACAC